AATTACAATAAATACAGAAGTTGATAAAAGATGCGGGAAAAATTAGCAGTCACAACAAATGAACGCTATTCTATCCTGACTAGATAGGACACGCGCAAAAGGAGGAGCAAATCAATATGGCTGTCGCCAAGAACAAGTGTCAAATAAAACAAATTAGATGCAGTTCGGGAAGAAGCAAAAAACTTAATACAGGCGTAAGAAAAATAAAAACTACAATAAAATACAAATATTAAAAATTCAAATGTAATAAAAAGAAAACCAATGTACAACTAAGGAAATCAATAGGAATAAAGTGCAAGTGTTTACATGTAAGGATTTTCACACACACCAAATATTCAAAATGGATCCTACAATACTAATACTTGGTTATCCTTTGCAATTAATTGAGACGTCCATAGCATCACTCCACATTATGACTGCACAAAAACCCATCCTACAGTCATGTCTTACTGTATTGATAAGTTATTTTTTAGTTATTTTTAAAATTTATTTTGTATCGTTTTATTTTTGTTACTCATTCGGCGATGCACACAAAAACACGCCTATTAAACTACTTACGTATTGCGCGTCTCTTTTGTTTTCTCCCTTTCCTTCTTTAAAGTCAACTCAATGTTCTTTTCAATTATTCCGAACCTGATTTATCATTATTGTACAGTCATTATTATATTTTCCTTTTTCTTTGACTCTCTTTTTCAAATATGGCAAATATAATGCTAACATTATTGAAACTTGTGTATTATTGCATTTCTGAAGAAACCCTAAATGATTTCTTTACAACACTTATGTACCCATAAGATGTTTGTGAACAATAATAATAGTTATCAGTCAGGTTATCGACTGATTTAGATCTTAGTTTAATTGTTTAAATCGACCATATTACGTGATTGTCAAATCGTAACAAAGCAATGGCAAGATACCATTCATGGATAGCTACTTTTGGTTTTGATTTAAGTATTAGCCATAGAAAATAAGTTAGGTAGTGCTGTTTTATATGTCTAAGGTTTTCGAAGGCACAGAACACCGTCACGATCGTTGGTTCAGAAACATCAGAAATAGAAAATAAGGGAAAAAATTGGGTGATGCAAGTGAAACTGATTTATATGATTGAGTTTTATTGCGAGTTAGTTTTCTACGAGATGGGGTCGCTAACCCCATACCCAACCCTCCTCTATCCGGGCCTGGGACCGGCAACAGCCCTCGGAGGGCTTCCAGGCGGAGTTGCATAACCTTGATAAGCATGTAAAAATGAACCAATTACAAGTATTTAACCATTGTTTGACCTAAAATGCTTCGACTAACAACCACTTTACAGTGGTTGTATTGGTCGCATAAGGCTACTAAACATATCTTATTCTAAAAACGGTTTGAGGAGTCGTTTATACGAAAAGAGAATTAGACTAGGTAGTCATACCTTAAGTATCCCTCCATGAATATTGTCTGCTTTGCTCTCGTCCCTTCTTTTTCTTACATTCTCTTTCAGCCCACTAGAGATATGCCACCGGAAACAGATATGGAACGGGTGACTTCGCCGTGCACCATCATAGAAGCCTCAGATATTCCAGAGGGATATAGGGTTGGGGTTTCTAGAGTCTCTCATTTTCACATGGATCTATTGACGACCATCGGTTGCACGTCGCAACGCAACTTTCGTAAAGCGCTTCAACTGTGACATTGACAACATAGGCCTTACTTAATCCATCTACATTCATTTCTTACAAAATATCAACCCAACTGAGTAATTTACTACAGTGAAAATTGTATCTTTTGTAGCAATTTGATCTTGCCTGTAAACTGGCATGCCTCACGTAACAAACTGTTATTTGAAAATAAATTATTAGTAGTAGTATTAAATGTTAACGGCCAGTCTAGATGATATATATATAAGTTAAGGAGTACAAAATCACAATAAATTATCCAGAAAAATATTAAAATAGTTTGGAATGCATTCGGAGCTTGTCGTTATTGAAAAGATTCATTGTTTGGGTTTATAATAAGTGTTCGTAAGGTATTTGTCTGATGTCTCTGTCCAACTTTCACATAGTATAATATTAGTGGTGAAATTTAGGGAAATGGTAATTTGGCAGGGAAAACCTGTTCACATCACCCACCCCAGTTGAAAGTTCTTCGTTTGTTTGTGAATCACCCCTTTTGATATGTTTTTTTACTCATATTACTCGGCTGATTGTTTGGGAATAAACAGCTTGTGCATGTATCCTGGAATTTTGCCGTCATTTTTGTCGGAGTTTATATCAAATTTAGAGATCTGAAGTGATTTGCTTTACCCCTTGTGAAATTCAAAGTTTCTTGCAGTGCCAAACGTCGTTTTCTGGTGTCGACTAGAATTTTACATCTATTTAAGAAGTAAACAAATAATATAATGGGAACTGGTCAGAATAATGACTACAACATGAATAACTTGCGATAAAAACTACGTATAAACATATGTGTGGAATTTTAGTTATGGGTAATCCGAAAGTCTACTTTCATGACTAAGTAAGTAAAATAATATTCAAAGTTAGATGAAATTAAATTTGTGTTCAACACATAGCTCACCATTTTCGTGACTGTAGGGAACCCTTGTTCTGTTTTTTAGAAGAAGCCAGACTAGTAGTGAACAAGTCTTTATTTTAGCTCGTGGTTGGCACACAGTGGATTGCGAGGTTATCTGTCCAAACACACGAGGCCTTTCAACACAAAATGTAAGATAATAGAAAGTGTAGTTCCTATACAAAATAAGGACGTGAATGAGTACTTGAGCTCTACTGTTTCGACATATATTTAGATGTTTGAGATCAACTGTTAGCTAATCATCCTGTTTGTTCCAAACTTTCAAAGCAGCTGTCAGATTGTGGGTGTGCGGCAAAGAGTAACAATCAGGGGTGATCTTCATATTAAGTTGCCGATAACTACCAGTTAGACGCTAATCACTGAAGTCCTCTTTAGGGACTATGTGCAGAGAAGATGCTCATAGGCTGTTTGATGACTGAATAATTTCCGAGTCTATCATGTGCTCGAATTCAGCCTTAGCCAGTCAAAGTTTCTCGGTTGCTAGTTGACGTTTTGACAAATACAGTTTGTACTATAATCAGGATGTGGTGTGTGTGATTTCTGTCTACGCACAATAGTTTTTCTCGAGTTTTGTAAAGTTCGTGGCTTTTGTCGAGCGTCCGTTGAAAGTGTGTATTATACGTCTAACCGCAATCGGGTATAACCTACAACTACGAAATTCAGTTCCACAAACATACACTAGCGTACATTTATTTGGGTCCATGCGTAGATCATAGAGTTGTGGCAGGTGTATACAAATGATTGGCATAGAAATGTCTGTCACAACAAAACTTCAATGAATAGGTTCTCATAAATCAACTTTACGATAAACATATCCTTTACCACATGAAGCAATCGGTTTTTCGGATGCCATTTGCAGGCTGAAGACCGGATCTTGTAGTCGGTCATTGGTATTCATGAGAAGAACGCTGATTTCTGCGTCAGTGTTGGTGAAACAATGAACTTCTATCACCACATTAGTGATGAGTAACAGATGGCTGTTTTCATTGGCTAGTACTGCCATTAATACGTGCCTACAGGGAAGTTTCCTGAAAGGTTTGTCGTGATGAAAGGTTTTGAGTTGGACAAACCGCAGTGTTTCTTTCAATTTCTATAAAAATTAATCATACCTGTCATGCTTCCATAACCAATCAGTATTATTTGTTTCTCATGGCCTAGAACACATCTTTTCCGTGTCAAATCCCTTTGGGGAGTTTCGCAGTTATGATGAATACGAAGATAACGATTAAGACTATTACAGTGATTCATAACGAATTCTCGTGCCATTCGAGGCCTTTCCTTAACAGTGAAAACATCGGTGTTAGAAGTTACGGTGAACCCCAGAATCCGATTGGCAGATGCCTCAATTTGTCTACGGCATTATTTTGAAGACAGATGAGAACCGCCTGCATCCGTCGTGGAAACCTAAATAGGAAGACTAATCTAAAGAAACCCTCTTTGAAGATTCACTGACCAATAATCTTGCGCACACGCAGCGAAATTTCTGTTTCTGAACTGTGTTTCAATTCTATGTTGTGGAAGAGCTTATCTGAACTTTAACGGTCGGTTAGGTCTCCCTTTTTATAGATCGCGCTTTTTAAGGTGCCATAAGGTTCTGGAACATCACCGGGCATAACATAGTGGTTAAACTTTAGCGGAAATGCCTTCACTACAGCGGGGGATCACGCACGCGCATCTACCACGACGTGCTCCTGGACTACTTGCGAAGCAGAATCAGGGTTCAATATTATCAGACCAGAGTGATATAAACTGAAAGGTGGGAGGGGGAGCATAAGACTCAAAAGTCAATAGTTTTGGTATCTTTCTCAGCACTGTGAATATATGCAGGTAGTCGAGAAAAACAAGAGTACGAGAATACGAAAGTAATATCACAATATGTAAAACTCTAAAAAGGACGTAATGTCACGACAAGGAATAAAATCACAATTAATCGTTTTGTGTACCAAGTCACACCAGGCTCACCATTAAAGATGCTACAGATATCCGCAGTTCGATAACGCCTTTAAACGTAAGGCCGTTTTAATTGAAGTATGACAATGCAGTCAAATAAGAAGTCAGATATGAAGGAGTTCGAAAATGGATTTAGCCGGTTATAGATATGTCGAGAATCGTTTGGTCTAAGCTGGCTAGTAGTTGCAATGGATGTGTAGAACAATGTATCCATTCATAGTCTGGTGCGGATGGGTGATCACGCGCCTTCATTTGTTGTGTGTCCAGTAAAACAGATAAGATCAGCGTCACTGTTGGAGAATTACAAAACTTTTAGTTTTGGAGATTTATTAACCAATACATGTCGCAAACTTTGTAAGTACGCTCCTGAACATGTCATAGGATTAAAAACATAATTAATGAGGTGAAATAGGCAAAAATTAGAACTTGGGCAGGTATCCAGGTCGTAGCTATGACACCTCGCGGCAGGTTTTTAAAATTGACTCATTCTAGCGGGTCAAATAACCTACTCACAGTTTTGATTTCAAAATTGTCTTAACTTGTGGCCTATATCGTTGCTGATTGTTTCCTATTGCTTTTCTTATTAAATGTGTATGCATTTTGTATTCTTTCTGGATAATCGACCCACCTTATCTTTTGTTCTTTTCTCCATCTTCCTTTACTGTATTCACCATGCTTCCCTAGTACACAAAGTAGATCCTGGCTAGAAACAATCCGCTATATGCGTTACGTCGTAAAGCATCCAAAGCCTTACACTTTCAACCCCTTGATTCTAGTAGCGACTTGTATTAATCTTGCGTTTATAGTCGCCTCAGAGGCAACAGTACTTAAGTACTTGCTCACGCCTGTTACTCCCAATAGAGCATAGGCCACCCAGAAGTAATATGTGTTACTTGACTGATTGAGACTGGTCACAAGGTTGACATCGGGTCAACATTTGTACTGTTATACAAAAACCTTCAAGGACGTATACTAAGGTTTATTGAAGCCTTGGCTATAAGGAAATTGAAACCCTCTTTATGCGTTTAAAAACAATTTTTCCTTATACTTAACCTACCCTAGTAATACTGATTTATTATCCAGAGTGGTAATTACATTTTTTGTGTAGTTTAATACTTCTTTTCTTCATTACGGCTTACCTTTAACCCATCAAGTTGACATTTCAATTTTCATATAAAAATGTCTTAACAAGTATACATGTGATCAGATTGTTCGAAAAGTATTGCGCTTACTGATTTATCAGCTCACTTGTTCTTTTGTTCCTTTCTCTTTCAAATTCTCTTACATACTGTTCCCCCCACTTCTCCAGCCTACAAGATACCTTTAGGCTAGACGCAGACCTATCAAAGGCTGAACGTTACATGCAATTATGAAAAATCCCCCAGCAGCTCTTTCACTTTATCCCCTTGCAAACCCAAAAGGCGAAGGGCATGGCTGTGAAGTATGCTCTAAACCAGCATGCTTACAATGTGGGGTATGCCGGATCACGTATTATTGGTTTGACCATTAACATATGAATGCATTATATTTCTAGTGGAATAGAGCATCAAAAAATTGATTGGGTAGGAATTCATAAAAAGATATGTCTGGATTTAATAACATTTCGAGAATCTAAGGGATTTGTATCAAAGGACAAGCGTGAGAAGAAAAGCGAAGAACTTCAAAACAAAAATGTAAGTGCATCTACATTGCACATGTACAACTATTTTTGGTGAGAAGCCTCTATCATACTTGTGGTACATGGGGATAGGCGATATGGGTACCAATGTAAAACATTTTGGTAGTGGATTCGAGTACAAAATGTACTTTGTTTTTTTAATAATTAGTATTATATTTCAATATACTCAGATAGTGCGCAGTTGGTCGCTTGCCTATTGAGACAATGTTGTCATGATATTTGAACCTAGAATCATTTTTTATGATGGTGACTCTAAATAGACAATTATTATGAGGTACATATTCCATAGCAGTTGTCTATCCAGAACTCACTGGGTGCATAGTGAGTTCATTAGCTTTGTTGCACATTTAGCCTGCAATAATAAAGATAGTAGGTCGGTTAACCTGTGTTAATCCTCGTGTTATATTTTCCATGGAAAATCCAATTTCCTCTTACAAGTGTTCACTAATTGGACTTAAGTCGCATGTTTTGGTGGGACGTCCCAGTCATTGAGTCCAACACAAATTACTAAACGTATATTGTAAGTGGCTAGTCTATAACTTGTGAAGTTCAACCAATACCTAGCTGAGTTCTCAAAAGAGAACCTTGATTCCGCTTTACTTCCGCAATTATCTTTCCATTGGCTCGTTGAAATTTCACTTTGAATGACACTTCTTCATAGTTGTAAGCCATTGAAAGTTTTTTTCAAGTAGTTTACTTCAAAAATCGTTTGAAGCGTTTGTTTAAGTAGTCGGGATTAGGAGTTTCCTTAAGTCATACATTGGTGAATCGTGTGAGTAGTTATTTAATTGTACTATTGTATCTCAAGTATATTGAATTATGTCGTCTTAAATTTAGAATGAGATTCAAAACATAGTTTACTGGTTCAAGGTTTTCGTGTTATTTAATTTATTCAGCTTGATCTGGTCCGGCTCACTCAGCTGGAGAGTCGAAAACTTTTGTTTAAAGGAAAACCAGAGAAAGCCCTACCTGCTGCTTTACAGTGTTTGAGGTTTGCAGTGCGTGCATATGGAATAGCTTGTGTTGAATTAGTATCACCCTATCTAGTTCTTGCAGAATCATGTATTGGTAAGTAGTTAAGCCATTGGTAAAATACTTCCCAAAAAGATATGAAAGATTATTGTGCTCTAAATTCTTGAATGTGTTTTCAGTGTACACTTTTTTATTAAATCTCTAGCGTCTTGGTGTTTGCCTATAAACGCAGTCAGATGGTTGCACATCTGGATCTTCTTTAAAATTCGTCCTATATTTTCATGAAAGGGTCAAGAAATTGCTGGCAGCCTTAGATGCTACCTCGTACTACTACTTAGCATTGTGTTTGCTCTTTGACGAGCTTTCAGGAATCAAAGTGAGGCTACAGGTGATAAGATTTGGTTACTGCTAGGAAAGACTTATCACTCCCAGAATTTTGTTGCTAATCAGGATTGATGGTTCTCCGCACACAGGTAGGATGACAACCTTACTCAACCATCCCACTTTCTATAATCAAACAGTTTTGGTGACTGGTTCTGAAGCAGCAACCTACATTTGGTAAGTTAAGAATCACTAATACAGATCTTTAAATCAGATCTTTAGATCTGATAAAGATTTTTATATCCACAGAGCCTCTGACCTTTCATCTGTACTCCAAATGTTTTGAAGGCCTTTAAGTAGTAGGTCATTTTCTAAGAATACGATTACATATAATTTCTATATAAATATCTAACAGAACTGGTGAATGCAAAGAATATCTGTAGAAACCTCTAGTTTCACTTCTAAGGGAAATGTTTCCCCTAAACACAGCCACATGAGTCATTACAAAATTTCCCTTCGTCACTTCAACATAAATAGTATAGGTGTTTTTGTTCCTAGTTTTCTGTTTTAATTGTTTATCAACTGTCTATTTCTAATGGCTATACACGTTCTAGTACTTGTTGTGTTTTAGATCAGTCTTTTGAGTAAGTTCAAAGAAATAATGACTGCAAAACGTGATGATCGAGAGATCATGAGAAATAATAAACAATGTGCGTATTAGCTTGATTACTATTTTTACCATCTAGGTCTTGGGAAACTGAATCAAGCTGAGACTTACCTTGCACAAGCTCAGTGGATAGTACTTAAAGCACAACATGGATGCACAGATAGTATACAATCACAGTTACATCGTAAACTTGGTTTGTTATATGCTGCTAAAGGGAATTATGAACTAGCATTGGCGAGTTTGGCGAAAGATGTGAGTCTACTAAGCTCTTTATTCTTTCTTAAAATTAATGAATATTTCAGTACTGTCGAATATATGTGTAGGTATGCCTCTAAATACATTTTAAACTAATGCGACGAGTTATGGGAAGTCAAAGTTAAAATAATGAGATGAGTTGATAATCAAGTTGATTATCAATTCTGGACCCAGTTAGAAGAAAACTTATGGTACAATGAACGCTAGTCATTGACTCCGCCAAAATTTGCGAACTACAAACAGTAACAAATTGTTTTCATTTCATGATAACCACTATCTAGAATCATACTTTACTGATTTACTCGGTATGTTCCTCGTATTTTATGTCCTATAACTTTATTTGGTATCTACTCATTCTTCAATATTGCGTTTAACATTATTATATCTTATTTGTAGATATTTTATGCATCCCTCGAATATGGCACCGATCATATTTGCACGGCTGGTGGTTATTTTCATATGGCTGAAGTGTTTTATGCAATGTATAAAGCCAATGGCAACATAGGTTCTCTTGATCAAAACTTTCCAGAAAAGTCAACTGAATTTGTATATCCTTCGGTTACGCCGGAGATTTCAGAAATAAATAAACAAAATAAGTCTCACGGTTCATTGATTTATGAAAGGAAAACGAAATCAAACAACAGTCTTTCAACAAACTCAGAGTTTTGCATTCAACCGCCTTCATCAAAAGCTCAAGTAGTTGAAAATTTGTATACACGTGTAGTTAATATATGGGCCAGATACTTAAGGGAATTAGTAGAAAGCTTGTTATTCAAACCTGTGTTCTCTGAAGACGTTGGTGCTATTATGGTGGAGACTAATCAAAAAGCTAAACAAACCCTAGGTAATGACATGTTAAACAATACCTTTCTATGATCATTAGAAGTATTCAGGTTGATTTGCTAACTACTTACTTACTCCTGTTACTCTTCATGAAGCAGCATAAACCACCCACCAGCATTCTCCATCGACCTCTGTCTTAGATAAACCATTCTGGTTGTTTTTAGTTGCTGTTCATCCTTTTGATGTCTGCTTCCAGTTCCCGATCCAATGTGTTATTTGACCTTCCCCTCTTCCATTTTCCTTCAGGATTCCAAGTTGATTTGCCAAATAAAAATTCCCGAAATAGTGCAATTTAAGGCAGGTAGAACTAGATGAGCACAACTGGACGTATCTAGAATTCGTAAGAAGCACACAATCTAGTACAGAGGAATAATTAGTTAGTACAAATATCACACGTACTTAGTTCTAATATCAAAACTAACTTTTGTTCAGTGTTTCAGATTGTAAGGCCTACTGTGCAGAAAGTTTCTACAAAATTCGTGGACTTGCTATTTTCTACATCTGGAGTATTTTATATGTAGGTTTTGAGTTTTAAATGAACTCCATTGTAGTGAACCTAGGAAATTACTCGAAAATGACTTAAAAGTGTATTATTATGGTTAAGCTGATGTCATAAAGCATCAAGAGCGCAAACTGTTGCTGTTGTTGCCATTTCGAACTGATGATCTGTCCACAATTAATCTGGAAGTTTATTACCTTCCACTGGCAACAGGTTTCTGCATTTTTCCCTATTATTTCCATCAAATCACATTCCTCTGGAGATGTATACAATTTTTGTAAGTATGTTATTATCTTACTGTTTTCTATGTATTTTGCCTCAACCCTTTGGTCTGTATTGGGCTTTGAGAACCTGTTAATCATAATTGGCTGTCTTAGTAGTCGAATCCACTTTGTTACGATTAAATAAACAAATTTAGTCATATTATAGATTCTGTCATATGGAATAAATTAGTAAAGTCAAGAATATAATGGACTTTTTATCGGGACAAACTTACTATCGTACAAAACTTTAAGGGGTGAAATAACAATATTATGTAGTCTACATGTTCTAGAGACTCATTCACACGAATTAACAGTGTATGTTTTCACAACTTATAACCAATAGTGCTTCGCAGTTTTTTTTGCCTAAAAATGAGTTGACATTCCCAGGAGTTACTTCGAATTTACTAATCATGGTTGATGTCTTGTCTTATATTCTACGTTTGTTTGATAGTTTGTATTATATCACCTTAATGACTGTCAACTCGATAAAAGGTTTTAAATAAAACATAGTAGACATAATGTTAACTAGTTTTTTTTAAAAACTACCATTCAATGTTTAGTCTATTATTATTTTTTCCCTGTGTACTTAGCAGTAGAGTACAGAACATCTAATAGTGGTTACTTCTCTGTCTTTCCCCCTTTTCTTTTGAAACTCCATAAATTATCAGTTTTACTGATTGATATAATGAAGGAATGTCATTGTCGAACTTGTCTTGTAGTATTGTAGCATCCATTTTTCGCGCTTCATTTATTGGATAACTAATAAAGAGAATTATTGTTAACATGATATCTTTGCGACTGTTTTCACAACAAAATTAATTACAACGTTAACTACTAAATATGATGTTATTTACTACTCATTGTATGATTACTTTACCTATTTCAGTCCTTTAATGTAGTTAGCCGTGATCTATTTAGTCCCGTAATGTTGTTTTCAACTACTTGGTCATTGTAACTAGAATATCTTAGAAAACATTAGATTGTTCAAGGTTCTCAATATTCTTCACTAATAAGTACAATATAGCAAATATGTTTTCGTACAACTTTGTTATAAATTACCTTTAAACATGAAATGATAGATATACTGTACTGCGAAAAAATCATTCACTGAAACTGTATAATTCTATTTATAGTTTCATATCATAAATAAGTTTAATAAAATAGAACGATATTGGATTAGTAAAAAGGTAACTGAAAATGTTTTACATTGATTAGATAAGTTGCTTGATAGTTTAAATGATAATCCAAAACAGTAAATTATAAACAGATCATTCATGAATGATAACTGTCTACTTCATAAATATCAGACAAAAGTGAATAAGGAAAAAGTGAAGTAATAACTTATGAAATTAGAAAGTTATTTTGATTGTATGCCATTTTCTAAGATCAAGGTAAAATAAGGGACTGCAAGCATCAAACTTAAGATGGTGATTTTAGTACTCGTATTCTTTTGTAGTTGAACTGTCATACCTTTTAAATAGTTCTGAAAGCTACTTCTAGAAGAGCTATGTGATTTGAGTCGAGTAAGTATTTAAGACTAGAATTGAGTTTTTTGTATGTACCCAACTAATAGGACATCTTATTATTGTATCTTTGAATAAACAAAATATACTGATTATAATTAACAGATGATGCACAAAAAGCTGAAGCTGAAAAAATGCTGTATGCAATCGAGAAATATCATAATCAGCGTATCAGTGAAAATGAGCTTAATGCAAGTACTTGTAATCCAGCCAAGCCAGATCCAAAAGTTCAATTGTATTTGACTTTGTCAATGCTAAACTATATTTTAGAAAGAAAGCAAGAAGTAAGCATTTATCAGTTTCGAAAAAAGAATCCAATTTTAACGTATTCTATAAAGGTTCTTATTAACGTACTTCTCCACCAGTTAGTGTAGCCTATTCATATCTGACGTATGCAGAAATAATGCTACTGGAACCCTTTATTTCTTTTGAATGAAGATATATTGAAACACGTTAATTAAATCTTAGAAGTGACGTATGTAAGTTAGCTTGTCTACACGTTAACAACAAAGTTGAACAATGTCAAAATTTCAGCACAGAGTTATGGAAAATTTCGATTTTATTGAAATCATGGACCAATCAATTTTAGACCGTTCAAGACCTAAAAGCACTAGACGACCGTTTGGTTCTAGTATGGGACTCCTCAGCAGTGGACACTCACGACCCCGCAACCACCTTCCATTGTTTTCAGTGAGTGGCTGTCTCATACCCGATACGGTTAAACTTCACTGATCACAGCTTCTCACTAGAACTCCGAGAATTATCTCTCAAAGCTAGTCACCAGTGAGCACATAGTAATTTTCAGTATGGGGTGCGGAGGTTGTTGAATTTCACGTTCGCGCGAGACCGAAGTTTCCGTGTTCAAATCTAGCTTGCGTGATCGTGAATGCGCTAAGGAATGTGCTAAGGAATCCCAAACGGCCGTATAATGCTTCCAGGTCTTCAATGGTGGTCTAACATTGATCGGTTCATGATTTCTATACATTGCCAAACTACTTATAAAGTATCCAAACTTGGGATGTTCAATGGATATCTTCAAAATCCTACTAAATATGCATTTGAATTTTTGACGAAACAAAGCTATATAAGTGAAACTACCAAAAAAGTATTGTCACATAATTTCTCGCATTACTATTGTATTTATTATTGGTCTTGCGTATTTTATTTCTTTACTTACAAGTCTATACAATATTTAATCAAAGCCAAAGTTGCAGCTGAATTTATGGTACAACATCCAAAAATCACTGTGAATATCAAATTGATGGAACGTGCCTTCAGTGATAAAATAATTCAACAAGTTGCATAAAAATTATTTCAGACATAATTGCTGTTCCTTCTTCTTTTCATGCTTAATTTTATGGAAAGAAATAAAAGGATATTTTTCTCTTCCTATTTTTTCTACACTGCTTAAAATCAATAAATAATGTAATTTAAACGTCAGCAAAATTCACGAAATAAAATGATACTTTGAGATTAAGGATATTTGTAACTCAGGTGAATAATTTAGGTGAAGTTTTGTTCTCTGAGTTAGATGGTTTGGTCGTACGGCTTTCATTGTTCTTCTGAAGAACATTAACACAAACTTCAGGTACAAGTGAAGTGTTTGAATTTCTCCGCATATGACTCACAGCTTGTTCTGTCATTTCTACTTGAAGTTTGTACTGATTATGTTGTTGATAGTTTGCGGCAAAAGATTATGGCATCACTCCCAGAATGGGAGCAAAAATTGATAACCAGATCAGATTTTTCTTGCAGGATACTACTTGATAAGTCTTCGAATGTAACTCTGGATTCAGTTCCTAAGCACTTCTGTTAACCCCCAGGCTAAATCTTCACAGTGACTTGAACACGAGAGAAAAGGCGCGAAATACGGAAGAAGCGCTTTATTCTAAAGGTTCTGTTTATGTACGTAGAGCTTTCGGAAATCTCCGGAACGTTTTTAAATATAGTAGCAATATGGGTAATCATTCAGTCAGAAACACGACATGTGACTTTTCACTTTCTATATGTTCATGGCAAAACGTCTATTGAATGCTGATTGGATAAGATGCTTCTCAACGTTCTCAGAGCCTTTTTCAACTTTTTTAAAGGAGTTTTCTGGTTCTCCTCAACACTACTATAATACGATAATAAGGCTGGGGATCGGGTTCATAGTACAACTAGACTGAATGCCCATTCGAAAGGCTGTACATAGACTGGACCACATTATATCATACTAGTCATATTTTGCTTCCGCTACCACACATTAAATATACAAACCTATAGTAATCACTGATATTTGTCATTCTGGTCCTTTTTATCATGATTGTCAATTGCTTTACATTGTATCGTATATCAGTGCTGCATATTAATACATACATGGTCTTAGACAGTTAAGCGGAAACCACGAAATATAATAGATTCATATTATTCCGTCTCAATTGTTGTTTTGGTCATATTCAACATCATATGTATTAGATCCTTGGAAATATTTCAAAGATTCTTTTAATCCCTGAATTCTGCCTGTAGCATTTCTAGGGTTGCTGCCGGTTCCAAGACCGGGTAAAGGGGGCTAGGTGTGGTGTCAGCAACTCCAACCCGTAGAAAACAACCCTTGCACCTAACAACCAGAGCAACAACTAATATAGGTACATGGCATGTCCGGACAATGTGAGAGACCGGGAGTACCAGCCTAATAGCTATGGAAATGAGGAGATGCAACTTGATGGTATTCGGAAAGAGTGAACCACATTGGACCAAAGCTGGACATCAAAAGTTAGGTACGGGAGAAATGCTATTGTACTCCGGTCACAGAGAGGAATATTCTCTACACACTCAGGCAGTTTCTCTGATGTTGTACAAAGAACCATGTAAAACACTTATAGGATGAGACTCACGGATCTAGAATCATCAAAGCATCCTTCAAAACAAAGAAGGAGGGAATCAAATGAATATTATCCAGTGTTATGTACTCACTTATGATAGCAACGACGACGATAGAGATCAGTTCTATGGGAGGCTGCAATCGATCACAGCAAAATGCTCAACAAAGGACCTGACAATCCTAATAGGAGATCTAAACGCCAAAGTCAGAATGGAGGACACCGGCTATGCAGATTTCATTGAACGATATGGATTGACTGGGAAAAACGAATGAGAATGGTGACAGGTTAAGAGATTTAGGTGCATTTGACAAACTCGTTATAGATGGCTTTAAATTTCCTCACAGACACATACACAGAGCTATATGGGTCTCATCGGATCAAACTACAGAGAATCAGATCGATCATATCTGTATCACTGAAGAATTCAGGTCAATGGAAAAACTGAGAAACAGGAGAGGACTTGACATAGCTTCAAATCAGCACCAGCTGGTGGTTGTCAAGACGAAACTGAAGCTACGGAACTAATGGATAACGGGAGAAACAGCATTACAAAGGTTTAATATAGCCTTCCTTCGACATACTGAGAAAATCAACGAATTCAAGATAACTCTCGACAACAAGTTCCAAGCCTTACAGGAGCATTAGAGCTGACAAACAGAAATTCGTGGAAGACCTAGCAACGACAGCACACAAATCTATAAGAGATGGAAATGTGAAACAACTATGTGGCTTATGCTCCCACTTGACGGATAACAAGCATAAGTAATTAAATAAGTAAACTTTGATCTTTAAGCTTAAAACTATGTAAATGGTGTACTAAAAGTTAGTATCTCTTCAAATAAGCATTATATTTTAAATTTCATATAACAGAATAATGTATAACTTGGGAATTAGAATTTCAAACGGCAAAATTAATACATTGTTTGTAAGATGATTGAAAGATATACTATTTTGAAATTCAGAACATTGCTATTTTGACACAAAGAATTAAATTAATTTTAAAAATATATGATAAAATGATAATATAACTATTCATTCAACTTGATATTCCATAATATCACGTGAAAATGAAAACATAACTAAGGAGATAGAAAAACAAATATATCCTGGGACATAGCTCTTTCTTTCGATGTCAGTGCTTCACAATTATAAATCCCATCGTCACCTTCCCTGAAGTTTTCGATTGTTAGACGACTCTTTGAACCCTTACATCCAAGCGAACTTGGCACAGCCTGGGTCCTCATTCGTGTTTCATCACGAAGGCATCTCCAATTGAAACGCCAAATAATCATAGGTGGTGGAACACCGGATGCTTCACATTCTAAAATCAGTCTACCACCAGGACGAACTCTATGAGTTTCTTGACGTTGAGTTTGAATTATGGTAGGTGGGGCTGAAAGGGGATTGAAACACTGGCAATCAATTTCAAAAACTATTTTGATTATTATTTGAGTATGATAAAAATGATTTTAAACAAAAAACGTATCAGCTAAAACATTGACGTGCACTATGCTGATGATGAACACTACAATAAGTGATATTTACTTTGAAACATTTTATAGATGCACAAAAATCTCCTTCAGTAGTTGTATTATTGCACTTACAATCATTTGAACACACAATCCAAGTCAATATTCACCACTGTCAATCACAGTTAACAAATTATTGATAACATATCGTAGGTTTTATAAAGAATAAAACAGAAATGAACACATCAAACTGGACTGCTCCTGTTGCAATCATCAATCCATTATCTCACATTTCATTGTTCATGCGTTTTTTTACAAATTGCATTGCGTTCCCGCTCTTCCTTTGTTGATCTTTTACCATCTTCTGCTGCCAGACATTACGTTCTTTAACTCGCGTCATATACTACTTATATCAATATAAGTAGCACACACCACAGATGTACTAACTATTACTGTTTTTTTAAAGCCAGTATTCGAAAGCTATTTTAATTAGTTGAAAATGTGTCATTTGTAAACCATTTTACAACCTAAGCTGATGTGATAATTTAATGTTCTCTCCAATTCATATTGATTTTTTGGCTCTGTTTTATTTGGAACTATCATTTTATTTTTAATCAAACTTTTGTTTTTTACTTGTAAATACCTTGAGAAATATATAAGTAGAGAGAGGTTTTTTGGATATTATAGCAATTTATTAGTTGAAATCATGAGTTAATTGAAGCTAGACCACCATGGAAAACCTGTTGTGAGATAGTAACTCACTGGTGACAATGGTAGACGGTAGCGCAACTCCGTGAATTGGACGTTAACACCGTTGGATGTCGGCCCAGTGGTCTAGAGGTTAATCACTCACGCGCGAGACTGATAGGTCCTTGGATGGAATATTGCGAGGCGAGATCGTGGATGCGCACTGCCGATGAGTCCCATACTAGGACGAAACGGCCATCCAGTGCTTCCAGGTTTTCCATGGTGACCTAGCTTTAATTGATTCATGATCTCAACCACTGAAATTACACCATAGTCCATGTTAGTTCTTTTCTAAATATAACATCTATATGCAAAACTATTTTCATCTGATGATAAGTAAAATGACAAATAAAATACCAAAAAGTTGAAGTTATTTCCTTACAACAATCAGCTTCATCTTCACCACCTCGACAATCACGACCTCCATCACACCAGTATGCAAACGGTATATACTGATATGGTTCAGTACCACATCTGAAATGAGTAGCACCACACTCTTTATCTGGTACACGAGTGTCTGAAAGTAAAATATAAGTTGTAAATTAAATTGCTGTTTAAGTAAAACTGCAATTAGATCACTAATAAGTAATATCGTTAGTGAATATGTACGAGAAATGATAACAATCATCTGATATTTGAACTCCGCCTGAAGTCCTACTGGAGCTACTACCGGTCCCAAGCCCGGATAAAGGAGTAGTGTTGGGTATGGGGTTAGCGACCCCATCCCGTAGAAAAATAACTTGCTGAAAAAAACGCTAACCAGAAAAAATAATGATAATTGATTCGTTACAAATTAATTATCGTCAATTCGATAACATATTTTAACAGTTTGGTATTTGTGTTTTAACATTTTATCACTAACGTCCACATAAAAATTCGTATCATCATTTCCTAAGAAATTCCAACTGAAAACATTTACATAGTGAAAATTAATGGTATTTCGATAATAATAATTTAACTTTTACTAACATGTTATTTGTAAAATTAACTAAAGTCATTCAACAAATGTTATCTCATTCTGTACATGTATATTTTGAGTTTCATTATTCAAACAAATACTTACCATTTAGACAATTTTGTTCATCAAACCGATTTCCACAATCATCTTCGCCATCACACCTCCAATGTAGTTCATAGGTTTTTTCTTTAGGTGGTTTACCATTCACAACTTCGCATGGTTTTGTTATTGGATCACAATACTCTGTAATCATAGGAATTAGAAAACTGTTAACTCTATTCTATTCAAAATAATAAAAATAAGTTAAGTTTCATCATACACCCAGTGAATAACATTTATATTCAACGTTAACTCCAGAGTTGTGTATAATAATATGATGCTATTCCTTTCGGCAGGACGTCAATTTGAACAGATTTAGAATTTGTGACAAATGGTCGTCAGACAAATAACGATTGGACATCAGGGCATAACGCAAACCTGTCTTGGCGGAGAACGACATCTGAATGCAGTTCATATTTTATCTGTTGACATTGTTTATTCAAAATGTTCCTTGTCTTTGAAAAGTCATCGGTGAGAA